AATCTGATTGCAGGCATGTATGGGAGTGTAATGGGTGGATCTGTTAGCCCTCTATAATTAATACGCAGTAATTTACCAGGCCATTGTTTTCTCTGGAGGGCTGCTGGGATACCCGAGTCTCCGTATTTGCAGAGGACTACAGTATTAGCATTACACCGGGTATTATCCCAGTCTGTATCTGCAAAACCTCTGTTTCCACAATCAAAACCGCTTGTCACTTGGGTTTAGCTTCATAATTAAGGAGCCGGTGGTGGATTGTATCTCTCATTTGGTCCAGAACTCATATATGTGATGTTATGAATGTCCTTGTCCAATATAATTTTGCTCCTCATACAGTTGAAGTCAGATTTATTAGCCCTCCTGAATTGTTAGCATGTTGCTAGCATGTTTAGCCTGATACTTGCATATTTCTAACATAAATGAACTTCCTATTAGCAGGAATTGTCATTTTGTTGTAAAAAAACTACATGTTCCAAGCATGGATTAACATGCTATTAGAAACAATTAGCAAGTTGTTAGCTTGTTTAGCTTGCTTTTTGAACATTTTCATCATAAATTAACTTCCTGTTAGCAAGAATTAGCATATTGTTGTGAAAAACTACATGTTGCTAACATGTTTTTAACAAAAAATTTGCATGTTCCAAGCTTCGATTAACGCATTATTACAAAGAATAAGCATGCTTATAAATAACTTCCAATTAGCAAGATTTAACATGTTGTGAAAAACTACAGGTTGCTAACATGTTCCAAGCACGGACTAACATGTTATTTGCAAGTATTAGCATGTTGCTAGCATGTTTAGCGTGCTATTTGAATATTTTTAAAGATAAATTAACCTTCTATTAGCAAGAATTAGCATTTTGTTTTAAAAAAAACTACATTTTGCTAAAATGTTTATAACATAAATTAACATATTCCAAGCATGGATAAACAAGTTATTAGAAAGAATTAGCTTGTTTAGCCTGCTATTTGAATATTTTCAATATAAATTAACTTAATATAAACAAGCACTAGTATTTTGTTGTGAAAAACTACATTGCTAACATGTCTCTAACATAAATTAACATGATAACATGTTGCAAGCACAAAATAACACATTATTAGCAAGTATTAGCATGTTTCTAGCATGTTCAGCCTGCTACTTGCATTTCTAACATAAATTAACTTCATATTAGCAATAATTAGCATTTTGTTGTAAAAAAAAACTACGTTGCTAACATGTTTCTAACATAAATTAACAAGTTTCAAGCATCGATTAACATGTTATTAAAAAGAATAAGCATGCAGCTAGCATGTTTAGCCAGCTATTTGAATGTTTTCGATATAAATTAACTTCCTATTAGCAAGACTTACCATGTTGTTGTGAAAAACCACAGGTTACTAACATGTTTCAAACATAAATTAACAAGTTCCAAGCATGGACTAACATGTTATTAGCAAGTATTAGCATGTTGCTAGCATGTTTAGCCTGGTATTTAAATATTTTTGAACATAAATTAACCTTCTATTAGCAAGAATAAGCATTTTGTTATAAAAAAAACTAAATTGCTAACATGTTTCTAACATAAACTAACATGTTTCAAGCATGGATAAACATGTTATTAGACAGAACTAGCTTGTTTAGCCTGCTATTTGAATATTTTCAATATAAATTAACTTCCTATTGCCAAGATTTTGCATTTTGTAGTGAAAAACTACATTGCTAACATGTTTCGAACATAAATTAACATGATAACATGTTGCGAGTACAAAATAGCACATTATTAGCAAGTATTAGCATGTTGCTAGCATGTTTAGCCTGCTACTTGCATGTTTCTAACACAAATTAACTTCCTATTAGCAAGAATTAGCATTTTGTAGCGAAAAACTACATTGCTAACATGTTTCTAACATAAATTAACATGATAACATGTTGTGAGCACAAAATAGCACATTATTAGCAAGTATTAGCATGTTGCTAGCATGTTTAGCCTGCTATTTGAATATTTCCAATATAAATTAACTTGCTATTTGCAAGAATTAGCATTTTGCAGTGAAAAACAGCATTTTAGCAACAACAGCACTAACTATATCAAAGATGATGAGCGTGCATCACTCCATATGTGTTGTTCTTTAAAACTACACATAAAACCCAGAGCAGACAGATGCTGAAGGCCTGCACAAATAAGCCTGCGCTGGTCACAGCATCACACTCCTGCCACAGAGATAATAATACTAATAATATTGCTAATAATATTGACATTAAATGGTTTAAAAAATAAAAACTGCTTTTATTCTAGCCAAAATAAAACAAATAAGACTTTCTCCAGAAGAAAAAATAATCTAGGAAATACTGTGAAAAATTCCTTGCCCTGTTAAACATCATTTGGGAAATATATAAATCTCATAACTTGTTCCCGCAGCCCAGTCAGTAGCCCTTTTTTCTTCTTCTTCTCCATTTCCATTGTGATGACGAGGAGCACAGAAACACTGATCGTCAGTGACAGCCTCAGATTTATCATCTCGCAGATGTTTGGCTTGTGTGTTTCAGGTTCCTACACAGACGTGTGTTCGGAGGCTGTAGAAACGATAGGGAACAGCTGGAGACGGAGTGGTTTCTGTGACCCCGGCGCATTGGAACGGCGCCCCCTAAATAAACCTGTCAGATACGGTTAGATACGGGCACCGCAGGGCAGCGTGCCAACCGTACCCACCTCTGCCGGCTCCTCCGCCATCTGTTAAATACGCCACAAGCGAGTTAGAAGAGCTCGGAGACGCGGCGCTGGACCACAGTCAAAATAAGCTCAGTGTATCTCAAGTGCTTATTTTGCATCTCTGATGAATTAAAACTCAAAGCTGAGGAAATCTGTAATTGTGTCAGAGGCGGGTGGACAAATCTTAAGACATTCTTGACTTTTATGATTCATGCGTTGATTTTTTAAAAATAAATAAATTTAAACAGAATAGTTTACAAAAGTTTACGGAATAGTAAACAAAACAAAACAAAACAAAACAAAACAAAACAAAACAAAACAAAACAAAACAAAACAAAACAAAACAAAATAACCCGGGTGACGCAGTGGCGCAGTAGGTAGTGCTGTCGCCTCAAAGCAAGAAGGTCGCTGGTTCGAGCCTCGGCTGGGTCAGTTGGCGTTTCTGTGTGGAGTCTGCATGTCCTCCCCGGGTTAGCGTGGGTTTCCTCCGGGTGCTCCAGTTTCCCCCACAGTCCAAAGACATGCGGTAAAAATGAATAGGGTAGGCTAAATTGTCCTTAGTGTATGAGTGTGTATCGATGTTTCCCAGAGATGGGTTGCAGATGGAAGGGCATCCGCTGCATAAAACATATGGTGGGTAAGTTGGCGGTTCATTACGCTGTGGCAATCGCAGATTGATAAAGGGACTAAGCTAAAAAAGAAAATGAATAAAAATAAAATAAAATAAGATAAAAAAAATTAAATTAAATTAAATTAAATTAAATTAAATTAGATTAAATTAAATTAAATTAAATTAAATTAAATTAAATTAAATTAAATTAAATTAAATTAAATTAAATTAAATTAAATCTATTTATAACAAAAAAATTTATTTCAGATAGAAAAGATTATTTTTAATAATAGATTAAGGTTAAGTAAATAAATTTAACAGTTTAGAGACAAAATAAAATGAAAAAATAATAATAATGATTACTATTATAAGGTGGAAAATGTAACAATTTTAAATAATATGTATATAAACATGTATATGTTTTTAGAGACGCCAGTGGTTGTAAAGTGAAGATATCTAATCTAACAGAAAAAAAAAATGAATTAAAAAAACATGTTAAAATGAATAAAACTTAAAATATGTTTAAAAAATAATAAATTATGCAAAAATCTAATATAAATTTCACAAGTTAACATGACTGAAACGTAATTATTTTATAAAGACTATAATATAGTATATATAATATAGTATATCAGTTATATATAAATGAAAAACACATATTAAATTAACGCAAACTTTTTAAAAAAATCTTTCAAATAAACAATAGGAAAAATTGTTATGATAACCAACAATCTAACCTTCTCAGATCGCTGGAGAACACTCACATTTACACAAACTACAATCCGGTCTCAATATGAACTACAAGTCCTGTCATGGAACACACACACACACACCTGCTCCTAGTCTCTATTGATTACATTCACACAGCTGATTACACACAAATATATACGGCTCACTTTGAGACTCTCACTGCTGTTCTCTTTTTATACTTGTTATACTGTTTGTGAACATTACCATGCGTTTCCTTGCCTTGCCTTCCGTGCTTTTGAACCTTGCTTTGTTTTGTTTGTTTTACCCTGTCTGCAGCCTGTCTTTTGACCATCCGCCTGTTATTTGACCACGACTCCGGATTTGCCTACATACATCTGTTTGCTCCTGATTGCTTGCCTGACCATCTCTGTATAATAAACCCTGCATTTGGATCCTCACTTGCTGTAATAAAGTATGTAAAAAATAATAAATAACTCTAAAGCGGCTTGCACATGGCCGAGTGGCTCATCCAGTGTCTCATTAACATGATCATCCATCATTCGCAAAATTTGAAATCTTGTCAGAATCATATCGCCAACTAAATAGTATAGCTACTTTCTATATCGCCTAATACTTGAGTATGTACAACACTTGAATCTGAATTTACTTTGCAACCATTAGAAAAGTACTTTCTATATAGTATCAATGTGTGTAGTATGAATGAAATTCGGACATACTACATCTGCCATTTTGACATGATCAACCAGCATCAGTTGTGTTGCGAATACACACTTCAGAATCAGTAGTAGAAGGTCATCTGGGTACTTCTCGCATATACTGTTTGACATATGACTGCTAGGCTCCTACTAGGCTGTTTTCACATACTATACAGTTGGTAAGTATGTGATTTCGGAAGCAGCCTATGTGAATTTTGACACAGCCCCTGTGTTACCCTACTAAAACGTCTTAGAGTGCCACCTACAGAAAGAGATGTTTGAGCTACTCACATATTCTCCATATGTGTCCTGCACAACAGCAGGGGGAGGCCTGTATCCTGGTGGGGGCGGAGCTCCTCGTGCTCTCCGTGAGGACACGGCCACTCCTCTGCTGGAGGGGACTCTACTGGGCGGAGCTCCTCTTGGCGCTGCCCCTCGCGGGACCGCAGCCTGAGGAGGAGGAACGCCCCCTCTAGTCCTGCAAATACAATGAAAACGAAAACTTAAATGCAAAAATTAAACGTTACATAAAAATTTAGATGA